AAGCTATGATCAAAGCTTCTACACAAACTACTAACATGTTGACCCAGTCATCCACCACTCTAAATTCCTTCATGCAAACCACCGGCCAAGTGCTCAACTCGAACACTCAAGCCATAGCCCGGTTAGAAACCCAACTTGGGCAACTAGCCACTGCCGTGAGCAAGAGAGAGAAAGGAAAATTCCCAAGTCAACCTGTTACAAACCCTAAAGACAATGGATTCAGTTCAAACCATCCAACTCATGTGAATGCAGTTCAAGTACTACGATCAGGGAAACAAATAGACAACCAAGTTAGAATACCACCGGATCAAACCCCTTCTCCCATCCAACACACTCCTTCCGATAGGTATAGGCCCGTTGCCCCCTTTCCAGATAGACTCAAACCTAAGAAAAACTCCCCACAGGTTGAGAAAATCCTAGAAACATTTAAACAGGTCAAGATCAACATCCCTCTCCTAGATGCAATCGAACAAATTCCCTCTTATGCAAAGTTCTTGAAGGACTTATGCACTAAGAAAAGAACCACCAATGTCCCCAAGAAAGTCTTCTTAGCTGCCAACCTCAGTGAAATTTTTTCAAAACCCATGCCGTTAAAATACAAGGACCCTGGTTGTCCCACAATTCCATGCGTCATAGGTAACACTCACATTGATAAGGCACTTCTAGACTTGGGAGCCAGCGTCAATCTCCTTCCTTATTCAGTCTATCAACAGCTAGGAGTAGGAGAACTTAAACCGATAAGATACACTCTACAGTTAGCTGATAGATCTGTAAAAATTCCCAAAGGAGAGGTAAAGGATGTTCTGATCAAAGTTTGAGAGTTCATTTTCCCTGTTGATTTTATTATCTTGGAAACGCAGTCCGTTTCCAATCTCAAAAGTCAAATTCCCGTCATTCTAGGATGACCGTTCTTAGCCACCTCAAATGCTTTGATCAATTGTAGAACTGGTCAAATGAAACTATCTTTTGGGAACATGACTATTGACCTTAATATTTTCAACCTAGGGAGACAGCCTAGTGATCCATCTGATCAACTAATGGAAGTGAATTTTATTCAAGGAATATCCAATGAGCAACAAGAGGGAGAGTGTGAGTCGGATTCAAGTGCATATGACTTAATGATTGAGGAGTTTTCTGATGACGAACTAGAGTTAGATCTGCTGGTCAATCATGTTTCTGCTGTTGGCTGGCAACGAGAACCTTTGGAGATAGAACCCCGAGTTTAGTTTTGCCCATCTGTGGAGGAACCCCCTAAGTTAGAGATCAAACCTCTACCTGAAAATCTAGAGTATGCCTACTTAGGGGAGAATGAGTCTTTACCAGTTATCATTTCTTCTGACTTGACTACCGGTCAAAAGGAAGCCCTCTTAGATGTTTTAAGAGAGAATTTGACTACCGGTCAAAAGAAAGCTCTCTTAGATGTTTTAAGAGAGAATAGGGAAGCCATTGGATGGACTATGGCTGATATCAAAGGGATTAGTCCAACCATTGTTCAACACCGAATCCATTTGATAGATGACGCCAAACCTACTAGAGATCATCAACGTAGGTTAAACCCCGTGATGAAAGAAGCCGTTAGGAAAGACATTCTGAAATATCTCGATCATGGGATCATTTATCCTATTTCTGATAGTTCATGGGTGAGTCCGGTCCAAGTTGTTCCAAAGAAGTCTGGGATCACCGTGATCCAAAATGAGGCTAATGAGCTGATTCCCACTCGAATACAAACTGGATGGCGAATCTGGGATCACCGTGATCCAAAATGAGGCTAATGAGCTGATTCCCACTCGAATACAAACTGGATGGCGAGTTTGTATTGACTAAAGAAAACTCGACTTAGCCACTCGGAAAGATCACTTCCCTCTTCCTTTTATTGACCAAATGTTAGAGCGTTTAGCAGGACATGAGTTCTATTGTTTTCTGGATGGATATGCAGGTTATAATCAAATCTCTATCACTCCAGAAGATCAGGAGAAAACCACCTTCACTTGCCCGTATGGAACATTCGCATACCGACACATGCCTTTTGGGCTGTGTAACGCACCTGCCACTTTCCAACGCTGCATGATCAGTATTTTTTCCGACATGGTAGAGAGATTTCTTAAAATTTTTATGGACGAATTTTCTATTTTTGGTGACACATTTTCCCAATGTTTGCATCATCTTAAACTGGTCCTAGAGCGGTGTGGGGAGAAAAATCTGACTCTCAATTAGGAGAAATGTCATTTCATGGTCAAACAAGGATTTGTCTTAGGACATGTAGTTTCCAATAGGAGAATCGAAGTGGACAAAGCTAAGGTAGATCTCATTTCCAATCTCCCTCCTCCCAAAACTGTCAAAGGTATCAGATCATTTATTTGTCATGTTGGTTTTTACCGACGTTTCATCAATGATTTTAGCAAAATTGCTAGACCCTTGACCAATCTCTTAGCCAAGGATACATCATTTGTCTTCTCTCCCGACTGCCTCAAAGCTTTTGAATATTTGAAAAAGGAGCTAACCATAGCTACTATCATTCATGCACCAGACTGGACCTTACCCTTCGAACTAATATGTGATGCATCTGATTCTGTGATTGGTGCTGTTTTAGGACAACGGTTTGATGGAAAACTACATGTGATCTACTACACCAGTAGAACTTTGAATGATGCACAGCAAAATTACTCTGTCACAAAAAAAGAGTTTTTAGCTGTAGTCTTTGCCTTAGAAAAATTCAGGTCCTACCTCATCGGTTCCTTAACCAAAGTTTTCACAGATCATGCCGCACTAAAGTATCTCTTAACCAAAAAGGATGCTAAAGCATGGCTCATTAGATGGATTCTCCTGGTTCAAGAGTTTGACGTCCAAATTTTTGACAGAAGGGGAACAGAGAACCCCGTAGAAGATCACCTCTTTCGACTCCCGAATGCACCAACATCAACTGTTCCAATCAATGAACATTTTCCAGATGAACAACTCCTAGAAATCCAATCTGTTCCAAGGTTCGCCGACATTGTGAACTACATAGTTATGAACCAGATCCCTTCTCATTGGTCCAAACAGGATAGATCCCGTTTTCTCTCCTAAGTAAAATACTTTTACTTGGATGATCCATATCTGTTCAAATATTATCCTGTTCAGATCTTTAGGAGGTGTGTTCCTACAGAAGAAACTAAGAGTGTTCTTTTTTTTTTCATGAGCAAGCATGTGGGGGCCACTTTGGCCCAAGAAAAACAACTAAAAAAATTCTCCAATCTAGGCTATACTGGCCCACTCTTTTCAAGGATTCATTCGAGTTTTGCAAAACCTGTAACCGCTGTCAGCTTTTAGGAAAGGTCACTAGAAGAAATATGATGCCCTTACAACTCATCTTATCCGTTAAACTTTTTGATCTGTGAGGTAACGATTTCATGGGACCATTTCCAAATTCCTTTGAAAATGTTTACATTCTAGTAGCCGTTGAATACATGTCAAAATGGGTTGAGGCAGTAGCTTGCAAAACTAATGACAACAAGGTCGTTGTCAAGTTTTTGAAAGAGAACATTTTTGCGGGCAGTAGCTTGCAAAACTAATGACAACAAGGTCGTTGTCAAGTTTTTGAAAGAGAACATTTTTGCCCGATTTAGAGTACCCCGAGCGATCATCAGTGACAACGGTACACATTTCTGTAACCGTTCTTTTAAGTCTTTGACGAGGAAATATTCAATCACACACAAATTATCAACTCCTTATCACCCCAAAACCAATGGACAAGTAGAGGTCACAAACAGGCAGATCAAACAAATCTTAGAAAAAACAGTTAATCATAACAGAAAAGATTGGTCTATAAAATTATGTGATGCTCTGTGGGCTTATAGAACAGCTTTCAAGGCCAATTTGGGGATGTCACCATACAGACTGGTGTTTGGGAAAGCTTGTCACCTACCCTTGGAGCATCGAGCAATATAAAACAGTTAAATTTTGACTCAGACTCGGCAGGTAAGAACAGATTGCTCCAAATAAATGAGTTGGAAGAAATTCGAAATGATGCATACATAAACTCAAAATTTTACAAAGAAAAAACCAAGATTTTTCATGACAAATCAATTTTATGAAAAATTTTCTCTCTAGGACAAAAAGTTTTATTGTATAATTCAAAATTATATCTTTTTTCTAAAAATTTAAGATCAAGATGGACCGGTCCATTTTTTGTCAAACAAGTTTTTTCGCATGGGGCTGTCGAGATAGAAAATCCTAAAAATGGTAACATTTTTAAAATAAATAATCAACGTCTAAAACCATTTTTAGAATTTTCTACGCTCGGAGAGGAAGAGGTGTTGGTTCTTCATAAACCTCATTATCTATAAAAAAAATAATAACAATAAATAAAATAAAATAAAAATAATAAAAAAATATAAAAAAATTAACAATAAAAATAAAATGAAAAAAATTATAATTTTTCTCTCTTATTTGATTTCTTCATCCTCATACTAACAGTAATTGCAAATCCTTATCATCATTGTCGACCGAACAAATGTATGTTCTTCAATCCTTATCATCATTGGTTTGCAGATTGAACAAATCTCTGTACGGTCTAAAGCAAGCGCCGAGGTGTTGGTACAATAGATTTGATTCATTCATCATGAGCCTTGGATACAACAGACTTAATTCAGACCCTTGTGCATATTTTAAGACAACAGACTTAATTCAGACCCTTGTGCATATTTTAAGAGGTTTGGTGAAAATAACTTTGTTATCTTATTGTTGTATGTTGACGACATGTTGGTTGTAGGCCCCAACAAAGATCGTATCAAAGAATTAAAGGCTCAGTTGGCTAAGGAATTTGAAATGAAGGATTTAAGATATGCAAACAAGATTCTAGGGATGCAAATTTACTGAGACAGAATTAATAGGAAGATTTGGCTTTCTTAGAAGAACTATTTGAAGAAAATCTTGCGACGCTTTAACATGCAAGATTGTAAGTCAATTTCTACCCCACTTCCTGTTAATTTTAAGTTATCCTCCAGTATGAGTCCTAGCAGTGAAGAAGAGAGGATGGAGATGTCTCAAGTACCGTATGCATCAGCAGTGTTCGCGATGATTTGTATAAGACCAGACATTGCACAAGCAGTGGGAGTGGTTAGTCGATACATGGCGAATCCTGGTAAAGAGCATTGGAATCCCGTAAAGAGGGTTCTAAGATACATTCAAGGAACCTCAAACGTTGCATTATGTTATGGGGGGTCTGACTTTATTGTCAGTGGATATGTTGATTCTGATTATGCAGATGATCGTGATAATAGCAAATCCACCACAGGCTATGTGTTTGCACTTGCTGGCAGAGCTGTAAGCTGGGTTTCAAAACTGTAGTCAGTTGTTGCTACTTCAACAACAGAAGCAGAATATGTAGCAGCTACACAAGCTAGTAAAGAAGCGATGTGGTTGAAGATGGTGCTGGAGGAACTCGGTCATGAACAAAAGAAGATTGCTCTATTTTGTGACAGTCAGAGTGCTTTGCAATTGGCAAGAAATCCAGCCTTTCATTCAAAGACCAAACACATTCGAGTTTAGTACCACTTCGTTCGTGAAAAAGTGGAAGAAGGAACAGTGGATATGCAGAAAATTCACACCAAGGACAACCTAGCAGATTTTTTAACAAAAGCAGTCAATACTAACAAATTTATTTGGTGTAGATCCTCTTATGGTCTGATGGAGACGTAAACAACATGAAGAAGGCAAGATAGAAAGAATGGTATGAAGACATGATTGATACTCAATCAAATCTTCAAGTGGGAGATTGTCAGCAGCCTTAACCGCCCACATGCTAAATTATCCAGCCACCAACTTTGAAAATGGAAAATAAAACAAAATGGTGGGGCCCATAGCTATAGTAAAATATTAATATTTTATTATGCATAGTGTTTTTCTAAAAACTATAAATAAGGCTCCAAATCCTTAAGGAAATCTCATCCCAGAAACAACGTCTTATATAGAAGAGTGAGAGAGAAAAAATAGAGAGAGTTTCTCCTTGAAAAGAGAGAGAGTTTGTAACTCCAGAGTTTTCTCCTCATAGCGAATTCTTGTCACGCCCCGCTTTCCAAAATACTAGGGAATCGGAACGTGAACAAGACCGCGACGTATTAGATCAAGGAGAATAAATAAAAATAAATGTTTCTCCTCAACCTAATACGCTAAGCGTCCGGAAATAAGTACAATGCGAAGTCACAGGTCCCCCATCACAATCAGCAAGAATATAATGAACAACACAGAATAAAATAATACATATCACAATGAATATTCATCCCAGATATAAAAATACGGGTCAACATGCCCTTATACAAAACTATCTAAATGAGATACTGGAGATTATAAATATACTCTGAACAAAAGGAATTGAAAGTGCTACAAAACAAACTGAAGGGAATGACTAAGCTTCGGCTTCTTCTTCTGCTACGTCTGTAAGGCACTTTTGCTAAGAATCCTCTGGCTCCTGGCAATCTTTCAGCTGGACCTGTTCTTCTTCTAAGTCTAACGTATACCAGAGAAAACAGGTGTACGTCAGGGTGCATGGCATACGACAAGACCCCACAAAAGAAAAGAACGAACGAAACCCAAGCGGAAAATGATACGATAACCGAAACAACAAAAGAACGTCTAACTGGTAATCCAACAAAATCAACATGCAAAAACACTACCAAAACATGATAAACATAAAGCATCCAAAATCGATCAGGTAACGAGATCATGCAACTAGCGAACAGTATAAACATCCAAGCAACAGGGTAATACAATAGATGGAATTAATACTTAAAAATCGACAACATGAGATGTAGTACATCGAGCGAAATAATCCAAACAAGGAAACCCTCATGTATATACCATATGTCTTAAATTGTAGATAATTAATTATTAACTCTGATCTATGTATGAAAAGAAACACAACTGTCCTACATCTCACAATAATCCATACCTAGCCAAACAACGAGGTCATATAACTAGCCATTCTATAACATGTCACTGGTCACATCTCACACAGAGTCAACGCTCCTATCATCGGATACTGACTGTTCACAAATCCCCTACGTGCATGCAATCCCGCTACACATGCGGCAAGAGGACTACACGTAAACCGTTTTCTGCCTGGTCCGAACTCAAGCATAACTCGGGTGACGAAACGATTTCACTGACTAAAGTGATGTACACATTTCACTTTAGCCCTACAAACCAACCCCGGTGGCGACACCAACCACGGGAGCGAGCCTAGAACATACATCAACAGTCTTATCCGATCACATGAACATTAACTTCCCCATCCCAACTCTCTTGTATTTTCTAAATCAACCATAATCCTCATTGAAACTCGGGCTCACCACCTAAAACTCAGTCAACACACCCACACATGTCACTAAGTCTGTTCATGACGCACGAGGCTACTAAGTCATGAACTACTAATGGTTCTCAAACACAACCAGGAACAATCAATATAACTAATCATGTGCAATAATATTGTAGCATATCAGATAATCAAAATTAAGAATTATAAATCATAAACAGAGTCTTCATAATTCAGAAATATTTCCTTTTCCAAAATAATTTCTTTTAAAATTATTATAATTATCCATAAATGATTCCACTACCAAAATAAATTCTTTTAATTCATAATAATTATTCTAAAATAATCTTTTCTATAAAATAACTCTTTTAAATTATCATTCTAAATAATCCCTTTTACATCAAGTAAATTCTTTTCTCATTATAATAATTATAAAATAATCTTTAAATATTCTATTTAATATTACTTTTTCCAAAGTAAATCCTTTTAAAATATTTCTCATTATAATAATTCAGAATACTCCCTTTTAAAAATTATTCTTATTTGTAATTAATCATAAACTACTTTTCAATATATCTACTCATCATAAATAGCATCACTTCACAAAATATAACCACCATAATATTCTCAACAAACCCACGTAGATAATAACATATCAGTCTAATCTATAAATATCAGATAAAAATAACAAATCAAAGAGAAGCGGGATCTTGCCTCGGGGTTCGAACAAGTGGACTACGGATCCAAAGGCGTTGTTGGGTGCTCGAGGCAACGCGATCGTCAGCAGTGGTCAACGTGGGTCTGGACAGCGAAGGGGAGGTGCTAGAGGTGGAGAGACGCGGATGGAGCTTGGCTGTGGGTGGTATGCGGCTGCAGTCCAGGCGACTGGCTTGAGGAAGAGTGGGAGATGGAGTGTTGCCGGAGGTTGCGAGGTTGGTTTGTGGAGTGGGTTCTCGGTCGGTGGCACAGGATACGGCCGATGGCGGTTGCTGGAGGCGCCGTGAAGCATGACTGGCGGTTGATGGGTCGACAGCAAGCCAGAGGGGCCACGAGAGGAGAGAGGGCTTGTAGGAGAAGGCGGAGGCCAGTAGGGCTCGACGAGGACGGAGGGAGGGGAGCAGGCGGGGTCTCGTGGCTATGGTGTGGCGACAGCTCGCAGATCCTCAACGAGAGGAGGCCGACGACGGGATGACGGTGTGGTCGCCAGGAGTTCGGACGATGGCTGGCAGCAAGCCAGTGGGGTTTGAAGCGAGGGGTGGTCGGAGGCGGGCTGGCGAATGACGGCTCAGGGCAGCGGCATAAAGTCGGAGCGGCTGCGACGCCGTCCGAAGTGGGCGTGGTCGTGTGGTGCTTCTCGGGTGGTGGTGTTCCGCCGGCGGTGGGTTAAAGGTAGTGAAGGACCGGTTGTCGGATTTGAGAGTAGGAGCAGAGAAAAGGGGTGTTAACTGTAGTGGCGGCGGTTTTAACACGGAGGAGAGAGAGGATAAGGGAGAGAGAGAGAAAGAGTTTATTATATATACTATATTATATATATTATATATATATTATATATATATTATATATACATATATAATATATATATATATATATATATATTATTAGGGTTTTTAGAAAACGATTAAAACGAAAATAATTAAAATAAATAACTACTGGTGTTTAAAAATTAAATTAATCACAAAATAATTATCTACAAATAAAAACATACATGTTCTGCTAATACAACAGTTGATACGAAATAGTCAAAATATACCCATATTGTATAATTAAACAAGAATAATTAATAAATAAAATATATTTACTTATATTTAAAATCAAACAATTATGGGATAATTATATACACAGTAAAACGTACAAGTTATACTAATACGACAGATAATATGTAACAGTATAAATAATACAGCAAATTATACAAATAATACGTAAATAATAATACAGCTTATTATATGAAAATATACGTAATAATAAAAATAATATAACATATTATTTAAAATGATATGTAACAGCGTCGATAACGCAACAGATAAATTCCATAAATTTTCACCGCATAAAATTTATTTATAAATATTAATATCATTTAAATAAATATAAAACTTAGACTTTAAATCATAGAAAATTGTAGAAATTCAAGAAAAATACAAATACTCTTTTAAAAATAATAATTGAATATTTTAAAATATCAAAAAAATTATTTTAACTAGTATTAAAATTTCACGGTCCTTACATTCTACCCCCCTTAAAATAAATTCCGCCCTCGGAATTAAAATAAGATATGCACGATATCATGTATTAATATCCAAAACAAAAATCAAATATGGACATTAACAGTTAACTAAAACAGTAATGAGAGACTTTTGTATATGAAAAATTGATAAATACAGTATTGGAAATAATTAATGAATAGACAATAAAATACAATTTTAAAGTAAAATATACACAACCTAAAAACAACTAATAAACACAATAAAATATCTACAATGTGCAAAATCTGTAACTAAATTGTATAAACTTATAACACTCATTTCACATCCTAAAATAAACCAGGAAACTACTCATGAAATATAAAAAAAATAACTATGTTAACCAATAAACAATATAACTCAAATAACAAAAATAACTAATAAATTAATAAAATTAAAGACAACATAAAAAGACATACAAGAAAAACATATAACTTGATAATAACCAAACAGTAATGATAACAAAACGCATACATGAAAAGTAAAATGTGACCAAAATTATATGATAACATACTCAGCAAACATGTATAAATACATGTACAATACGTAGAATTAATAAAATAAATGCAACACAAAATAAAAATAACTATACTATAACATGACCACAAACAAAAATTATAATAAAAACATAATAAATACTGAATCACAATATGTATAGCAATACACAAATTGATACATGAAAGAAAATGAGTAAGAATACATTGCATAAAATATAAGACACACCAACTATAAAATATTACAACTAAATACGTAACCAAAATACAATATGTAAAAACACAAAAATCGAAGCTAAACAAACA